GTATTGGGCCAAGAATCCCAGAGCCCAATTAACTAAAGACCCTTCCTGTCCTTGGGCCGGGCTGCAGGCAGCAGGTGTCACTGTGGCATGTGCAAGATTTGGGGGCCCATGGCCGCTATTTTCTCCGTCCCCTGGACTAGGTGCTTATGTGGCTGTCTCATTTCATCCTCTTAATAAGAATGCCTGGTTTACAGCGGAGGCTCAGGGAGGTCCAGTAACTTGCCCAGGGTTGCATATAGTCATAGTCTATTCTAACTGCTGTAACAAAATCCCATAGACCAAGTGGAATAATTCTTGGCTGCTCACGTCATAGAGGCTGGAAGTTTCAAAAACAAGGCAGCTACAGGTTTACTATCTGGCAAGGGCCAATTCATGGTTCATAGGTAGCATATTCTTTCTGTGTCCCCTCATGGTACAAGGACAAGTAAGCTCTCAGGCTTCTCTTATAAGGGCCCTAATCCTATTCTTGAGGGCTCTGCTCCGTGAAATCACCTCCCCAAACTGCCCCCTCTATATCATTACCTCAGGAGTGAGGATTTCAGTGTGAGAATTTGCGGGTGGGAGAATAGAGACATTCAGGCCACAGCACAAGAGTAAACTGAGGGTCAGGGCTTCTTGGACCATCCTTAGCTGGAACAGTGAGGACAGCTGGGGACTCTGACATGCAGCCAAGCATGAGGCCCCTGGTGTGCAAGGGGAAGCACCAGGTGGGTATGTTAATGCACCCAGGTGGTGGATGTCACCTAGGCAGAGGCCAGCTCTGCACCTGGGCCCTGACCATGGAGCCAGGCATATGCGGGGCCTGCTGCTGGGAGTCTCAAATCCCCTTCACCTTGGGCTAGAGAAACAGTAGGGAAGTCAGGGGCTGTGTAGACAGGCAAAGAAGCATGGACAGTGGTGACCTCATCTGCCCAGAGTGGCCACACTACTCTGGGAACCTTGGGTGGGGACACTAGGAACCATCCTAACTAAGGGCATGTCATTTAGCTGTTCACACGGTGCACCATGGTAAAAAGTCTGATTTTCATAAAGAGAGCTTCTGTAGCATAGAGCTAACATGGTCAGTAATTACATTACTAACACTGCCTGGTTCAGCACCTTTTCCTCAGCCTCTGGGAACGGAATGAGGGTTTGGAAAAGATGTGCCAGAGCCAGATAGACACCCAGGAAGCAGTGGAACTCAATGCCCACCGGGACAGTTCTTTGGACTCCTTGAGGTCTCCAGGAGAGAATGAACACTCCCTAGGTCAGGGAGAGAGCGTGGTCTTAGCACAGGCCTCGTGCTGCTCTTGCTGGCCAGCTGGGGCTTCGTTCCTTGACCTTTGTCAACCTGCATTTGGGACCACATCGGAGGATGAAATGCACCACGGGTAGGCCTATCACCTCTTCAGCCCTGACACTTCAGCCTCTGAGGCAAAGTCCCCATAAGGAGTTGGAGCCCAGCCTCAAGACAGTTCATGCCTGTCTAAGATTACCCTCGAAACTCAAAATTGAAATGTTGCTCGTTGGAGGTTTTAAGAGCTGAGACAGATCCAGATGGGATGCAAGTGGGGTGAGCCAGCTCAGCCCCAGGTGTCTGCTCACAGGCTCGCCCCTGCTGCCTGTTCAGATGGGGATTCTGAGCCTTAGCCCTGCTGATCTTCTCAGAAAGGGATGGCTGGATGGATGGATACACAGTCTGGGGTTCTGATAAGTGTCCAAAGTGTGTCTTGGGAAATGTTGAGTTCATCATGGGGTTACTCTGATTTTCCCACAGCTACCAGTAAAATGCCACTTGAAAACCAAATAATGTTCTATTTATAGCTGCTTAAAATGCAGACTTTTTCCCAGAATAAACATTATTAATGCCCGTAGATTATAACTTACATACTTAGAAGATGTATAACTATGCTTCGTATGTGCCCTTGATTGATCGGTCATTTAAGCATCTGAGCATGCCAGGGCACGCAAAGACTCACCATTGCTCCTCTGGGCCTAGTGAAGTATTGTCCAGGGACAGGGGAAAGGAGCACCCAACTGCCAGTGAGTGTCCCCAGTAAGACGCAGAAATGTGACCTTTGGACAAGGTAGAGTGACATCAGTTGTTAATTATTAGCTGTCTCCCTTTGTGTCTGTAATTGCCTTGTGTTTAACAAACACATTCAACATTTCCTTAACTTGGGGGCTGTGTTGCCCAGGGCCCGTGTTATGGGCTGAATTGTGTCCCCCTAAAACCCACATGTTGAAGACCTAACCCCCCAGTGGGATGGGGCCTTTATAGGGGTAATTAAGGCTAAAAGGAGTCAAAGGATGGATCCCTGATCCAGTAACACTGGTGTCCATATAGAAAGAGGGAGAGACACCGGGGAGATTCGTGCAGAGAGGAAAGGCCATGTTAGGGCACACTGAGAAGACTCCATCTGCAAACTAGCACGAGGGGCCTCAGGAGAGTCAGACCTACAACCTTGAACTTGGATTTCTAATCTTTAAAACTGAGAGAAATACATTGCTGTTGTGGAGGCCCTCTGCTCTGTGGTCCTTGGTAATGGCTGCCTGTGACCAGGACAGCTGGGGAGCCCTGAGTGAGCCTGTGCATATGACAAGCCACAGATGCCGACTTTATCCTCAGACTGAGTCAGAAACTTAGTGCCAGGATGCATGCGGTGGATCTGAGAGTGAGCCTTGCCCAGGTCTGTGATGATGGGTGTGGGACGTAGAGGCCGTGCTGATGTGGGTGCATTGATTTGGGGACTTGTCCTTCTTTGCCTTGAGGTCCATGCCATACTTCACAGGGGCTGATATATAGGAGGCACCTTGGATTATTTGTAGAATGAGTGGTCTTCTTGCACTTGCATGTGGACATTTAGAAATCTAATGAGAGCCTAGCTGGACCATACTTGCTTTTGAAAATCAAAGCCTATATATGGCGGTGATTTTCTGGCCCGGTGATGGACCCCATGGTGCAAGCTGCTCTGGGAACCACATGAAAGATAGCAACTCTCAGTCAGGTGTACTTTTGTCCCCAGGGGGATACAGGGTACTATCTGGCACAATTTTGTTTGTCATAGCTGGGTGGGAGGTGCTACTAGCATCTTGTGGGTTGAGGTTAAGGGTAAAGCAAAGCATGCTGCAGTAAACAGCCAGCTCCCCGTGACAAAAGACTGAGCATCCTGAAATGTCCATAAGGCTAAAGTTAAATCCTAAGGCATGACTAGATCTCCATGGTAACGTGATTAAGAAGTGTCAGTTCTACATAGGAAAGCTACACTAAGTAGACAGGGAGCTTTTTCTTCTGAAGAAACAATGAGCAGATGGTTAAGCTCAATATCTGCTGATTGTTGCATGACTGAGGAAAGCTACAGTACCATTCTTTGAAGGCCACTGAGGCCCATGTAACAGCTTGAGAGAGAGTAGGTTGGCACTGTTGGGCCTGGCTTGGAAGTGATGGAATGGGCTGAAGACCCTTCTGCCTCCTATGAAAACCCATTCAAAAGCCACCTTGTCCCCTCAGCATCCCTGGTTCTCTGCTCTCCCTACCAGGTGTCCAGGGGTAGCCACAGGGCAGGAAGATGAGGTTGCTGCTGGTGGAACGATGGAGTGCTTGAGGGTACAAGTTCCCCAGGAAAGAGAGAGTCACTTTCAGAAAGTAGTAATGTCAACACCTATTCTGTTGAGGTGAGGAGGCATGAGGAGTGCTTGGATGATGATGTAGAAGTTATTTGGTGGAAAGACCTAAGTAAGAGGCTTTAAGGATCATGTGCTCCATATTTAGGACATGCGCTTCTAGTACGGGTAGGGAGGTACAAGGTAGGAAGAGAGGGAGAGATCTGAAACCAGAACTAGCTCAGAGCTGTGCTTTTAGAAGATGCTCTTCATCCAGGGTATCTGTTGAGCTCATAAGAAAAAGTGTGACCAGTCAAGGAGGAAGCAAAGGTAAATAAAACCAGTTCCTGAGCTCAAGACACTTGGTTTCCTTGGCATGTAATCTCCCACTTCATGCACCAAGATCATTGTGAAGTTCAAGAGAAAGGTCTCCTGGAGCGAAGTGTAGTAGCACTGTGCAAAACGCTTACCACCTGGAGAACTGCACGACAAGCACGAATGGCTTGGAAGAAAGCTACAGGAAGAGACCAGTTTGGATTTAACTGAGCACTTTTCAAAGATAGGGCTGCCAGACTGAGCAAATAAAAATGAAGGGCACCCAGTTAAATTTATATCTCAGGTAATAAATAACTGGGGTGTGAGACGTACTTATACTAAACGCTCTGTTTGCTTATCTGAAATCCAGATTGAACTGGGCATCTTATACTTATCTGGCAACTTTACCATGGGGGAGGATAGGTAGAGAGACCTAGCACCTGTCAGTGAAGCACACTTTGGGGACATTGTCTCATCGTGTTGGTGCCAAACTTTTCTATTCCTTGTTATGCATTCTCCTGGTGCTTTGGTCTGTAAGCCACTAACAATATTTGCCCAATTTTATTAAAGAACACCTTTTTTGGCTTTCTGGAAAATCATTTTCAAGCATCTTTGGCTGCTCAGAACAGCTGGGAAACCAGAAATGCATGAAAAATGCCACCTGGTGCAGACAGAGCCCACAGTAGCCAAGCCAAGGCCAGGGCTGGCTGGATCTTCCAGGAGCAGTGGGGCGGTGCGATCCTGAGTGTCATTTGGCCAACATTTCAAGAATGTGCCGCAGGTTGGAGTTGAAGCCAGGTAGAGAGGAGCGAGGTTGGGTAAGAGGGAAGGATAAGCAAGGTGGAATGAAGAGGTTCCAGGTGATGTCTGGAAGAGCAGGTGGCAAAGGGCAAGCCCAGTGCTGCTGCAGTTGGCCTGTAGGCCTCTGTGTAACAGTTCCTCCTGTTGCTTCCAGTGGTTGAGGAGTCAGGAGCACAGCTGCCCGTGATAGTAGCTAATAAATGTTGAAGGCCGACTGTGCTTTGCTTGCCTTACTTCTTTGTTTTCCTGTTCTCTTCCACCTCGCTGCAGCCACACTTAGCTTTTTCTGTAACGCACCAGAGATGCTGCTGCCCCAGAGGCTTGTGTTTGCTGTTCCTTCTGCCCAGGATATTTCACCCTCAGAAATCCTCCTAGTTCTTGTCTTTACCTCATTTCTGGTCTTTGCTCAAGACCAGATGGCCATTACCTGCCTATCTTACTTAAAATTACAACTTTTCTGTGCTGGCCCCGTTTTGCTTCTAAGCACACATCACGATGGGGCAGTTTGTACCTTTTATTGTTGAGTTGTTTATTCGGTGTCTCCTCCCTGAAGACTGTGAGTTCTGGAAGGCAAAGATTCTGTTTACTTTGTTCGTTTCATTGTGAGTCCCCAGCATGACACCTGAACTCGTTCAGGCACTTGGTAAATGTGTTTTTAACAAATTACCTGAGCTCTTTCTTCATCAACCCTCATGGCTCCTACTTTACAAATAAAGGAACCAAGGTAAATCTGCCCAGGGCTGGGAGCTAATAAGAGATAGGGCTGGAATCTGTACCTAAGCAGGGTGTCCACTGTTGGGCCAGGTAGCCTGGGGACTGGAATTTGTCAACCTCTGCTCTCGATGACAAATGCTCCCAAGTGTCCTGTGTCCTCAAATGACAGCTTTGTCTCCATTTCCTCAGGATGCAGTTCTGAGACGGTCACCGTCCCTGATGGCCCCTGTAGCAACTCAGTGGAAGGAAGTCCTTTCCGGCCCCCACACTCCTCCTCTGCCGTCTTCGACGAAGACAAGCCGATAGCCAGCAGCGGGACTTACAACTTGGACTTTGACAACATCGAGCTGGTGGACAACTTCCAGAGCTTGGAGCCTCGCTCCTCAGACTGTAGGAACCAGGACTGCAAGGTGAACACGCGCAGGAAGTCTACAGAGTCTGTGCTCCCCTCCAAGTCCACACTGTCCCGCTCGCTCAGCCTTCAAGCCAGTGACTTTGACGGTGCTTCCTGCCCAGGCAGCCCCGAGGCTGTGGCCCTCGCCCCAGATGCCTGCAGCACAGGGTCCAACAGCGCTTCTAGTACTCTCAAGCGAACTAAAAAACCGAGGCCACCTTCCTTAAAAAAGAAACAGACATCCAAGAAGCCTCCAGAAACCCCCTCAGTGAAAGAGACCCAGCAAGAGTCAGTCGAAGAGAGTCCCGTCCCCTGTGAGGAGCATCTGACATCCGAGACAAAGACGGAGTTGGCCACTGCCGAGGGCTCTGGGTCCATCCTCCCGGAGGAGACGCCCCTGGAGCCTGCTGTTGTGCCGCAGGCTGCCTCTCCTCCAGACCCGGACTGCGCAGAGGGTGCTTGTCCCCCAGCTTCCGGAGGTGGCAGGGTGCAGAACTCCCCTCCCATTGGGAGGAAAACTTTGCCTCTTACCACAGCCCCCGAGGCAGTGGAGGTGACCCCATCGGATAGCAGGGGGCAAGAGGGCTCCCCAGCCAAAGGGCTCTCAGTGAGGCTGGAGTTTGACTATTCTGAGGACAAGGGTAGTTGGGACAACCAGCAGGAAAATACCCCACCTACCAAAAAGATAGGCAAAAAGCAGGTTGCCAAAATGCCCCTGAGGAGGCCAAAGATGAAAAAAACACCTGAGAAACTTGACAACACTCCTGCCTCACCTACCAGATCCCCCGCTGAACCCAATGACATCCCTGTTGCTAAAGGTACCTACACCTTTGATATTGACAAGTGGGATGACCCCAATTTTAACCCCTTTTCTTCCACCTCAAAAATGCAGGAATCTCCCAAATTGCCCCAGCAGTCATATAACTTTGACCCAGACACCTGTGATGAATCCCTAGACCCCTTTAAGACATCCTCTAAGACCCCCAGCTCACCTTCTAAGTCCCCAGCCTCATTCGAGATCCCAGCCAGTATTGAAACCAATGGAGTGGATGGGGATGGGCTCAACAAGCCCGCCAAGAAGAAGAAGACACCCCTAAAGACGTAAGTACAGGGGTGGAGGCGGGGAGGGTGGAGGCGGGGAGGGTGGAGGTGGGGTGCATGGTGCTGTGACCTGTTGGTCTTGTGTCTGGATGACCTTCAGCTGCCCTAACCTCACTGTTATTGAAATGACATGTGTTTGCAGCCCTGTGGTCAGACAGGCAAGGTACATGTTTTTTCCCCTCTGGGCTGTCACGGTGCTGGCATTTTATCATGCATAAACCCCTTTGGGGAAAAGAGTCCTTGATCTTTTGCCTTAATAATTCAGTGGTCACTTTGGGAGGCTGAGGCAGGAGGATTACAAGTTTGAACCTAGCCTGGGTAATTTAGAAACTCAGTGAGACTTTGTCTCAGGATGAACAATAACAAAGGGCCAATTTCGCACCTCATTGAGAAGGCCCTGGGTTTAATCCCTAGACCTGAAAAAAACCAGTAAGTCTGTAGTCTAAAGCTGTACTTTTAGCCAGAGACTTGACACTCAACTCCAGGGCATGTGGGAGGCCTTGTAGAAAGGGAATAGTCATGAGAGACCCGGCCAACCAACCATTTACGATTGGCCCTTTTCCTTTTAGCATATACTTTGAAGCCAGGAGACACAGCCTGTACAATATCGTTAAAATTTATAGCATTGGTTTCCGTCTGTTAAGGAGACTTTAGCCCAAGAATCCATCACAGTATAGTAGGCTCCAGGAGGCCTATGAGGCAGACAAATAGTTTGGGCCTCTCTTTGAACCAGTTCTAAGAAGTGGGCGTTTGTATCCTTCCCTCTCTCTGGTCATCTTTTGCAGACAAGAGTTCACATAGGCCCTAAAAGTCAAAACAAAACAAGACAAAGGAACTAAAGGTAGAAGCAGACCTTATAATGCCCAGGAAGCCATTAATAAATGAGTCTTTCCTCCACAATCACTTGCCCAGTAAGTGGCCCTTAAATACGATGTTCAAGTCCTTAGCTCTCCAGCATTCATTCCAAGATCCAGCTCTAACTTGGATGGCTGCAGGTCTGTTCTTAGGACTCTGGACCATGTGCAGTGTGATGACCACTTATAGACCTCCTAACTTTCATGGGAAGCACTGGCTATAATTTAACAAGGTTGAGAAAAGTAGTCTCCCACGAGCGTTGTAACTGAACAGGTAACAGTCCCGGCCCCTCTGGGTCTACTTGACACCAACAAGGCAGGGGTGGCCTGCTGGCCTCCCATTCTGGGTGCCCTCAAGCACTGACCTGAGAATAGCCTGATGCTTCCTGAGAATTGTTTCTAGAGCAGACTTTGGTTGTAGGTTACACTGTCACTGTGTGGCGATGGCTGGGAGACCATTCTGGCTAAAAAATTGTGGACTTCTCCTAGATCAGTTCCCCAATAGGCCCTTCTAGGAAATGTCATAGGATCCTATTGGAAATCTAATTTTAAGACTGGCTAGAAGTCAGTGTCTACTTGCAAAGCTATTGCCTCTTATCTTTGAAGCAAGAGTCAACTTGTAGTTCCCACCCCCTTCCCTGAGATAGCCTGCATGTATCTTCTGTCCTTAGCTACTTTCTTTTTTGATGAGTAAAGCTAACAAAGCTTAGAGAAGCTGACCCCACATCTCACGATCTCACGCCTAGTGCAGATGGACCACTGTCTTGACTCCTACCCTGGATGACAAAGACCTTAGGATTCCAACAGTGTGTGAGTGATCAGAACCTAGCAAAGAAGCTGTTGTCCAAAGGTCCCTTTCCAAAAAACTGGGTTATTGCTATCCTCCAGCAGAATATGCAGGTCACATCCTGACCTGCTAGGAACCAGTTGTCTGCAGATCTATCTTTTTTGTCAGTTCCTCTGTCTGTCTCTCTTTTCTTTGTTTCCTTGTCTTAGGATGGTTGAAGATGTGATGTCTGTGTGTTCTCTGTTGTAAGTACACTTAATGCAATCTCTTTCTTTTATGCCAAATGTGCTTTCCCCCTGCCTTATGTTTTGGCTTGCAAATCCTTTTTTCTTCACTGTGCCTGCTATGGTGTACTTCTGTGTTAGGTCTGGGAATGATGGGGTACAAGGGTCCCCAGTAGCAGAGGTTATTTCTCTGTTTCATAGTGATTATAATTGTGGAAGTGAGAATGCTTGGCTGTGAAAACATCATTATCCAACATCTGCCTGCTTGTCGGGAATGGAAGTATTTTTCCTCATACATATTGGATGTCTTCATCTGAAACCTAAGCATCTTTTTAACCCTTCATTCCATTCTTTCATTTTAAAGTGGGCTGGCAGGCAATTGCTTTCAGTAGCACCATGGCTTCACAGAGACCGTCCCGTGAAAGCTGGGGCAGAGACTGCCCTTGCTTGGTCCTGCTAACGTGTGAAGCGGAACCATTGGGCCATTCTGGCCATTCCAAATTGAGGCTGAAAGAGCCCCCCTGAAATATGGAGTCAGCTCAGAGTGGTGCCTGTGGCTGAGAGCCATCGCCATGCTGCCCTAAGCCATGTCCTTGTCACTCAAGTGCAGCCTGGGTGTTGGCATGCCTCATCCCTGCCAGGCATCAGTGCAGCTGACCACCTGTGTGCCTCTGCCACTCTGCCTCCCCTGGCCAGGAGGGGTCTTGTGGACAGTTCTCAGAGCTCTGAAGTCATGTACCTTCTCCCTGTCCTTAAAAGGGAAGCTGGCCTGGTCCCAGGTGTCTGGCAGTCCTAGGAGGGTGGAGTCTCTCAGACTCTTTTCTGCCCAAAATATTTCTTTAGTATTTTCAAGCCATTTTGCAACTACAAAATACACAGCTGTATATTTATATGCATGAATAAATATAAGCTTAAAGCTGTGGTTGTACTATTCTTACTGTAAATGCCATAAATAACCATTTTATTACAGAGCAATTTTTTTCGTGGTTAAATGCCATTGTTGGAACATTTTATTTGAGAGAACACAAGGAAAGGAACTTGGGTGCCAAATTGCTCTGCCCACCTAAACATGGAAAGCATGGGAGGGTGGTGGGATCTAAGGTGAGGGATCGAAAATGAGCAAAGGCCTTGCTGTGCTGGAAATGGAACCCTATGAGGGTCAGGCTGGAGACCAGCAGGCAGGGGCCAGTCTGCAGTAGGGAGAGAGCCTGCATTCTGACTGTGGAAATGACTGAGTGCCTGATGGACTCAGAACCATTTCTGCTAAAAATCACCAGTTTCTCCTGAGGTCTGCCTCCTTGACCCTTCAGGAGTCTTATCTGGTGTCCCTCCTCTCCTCAAAGTATCTACATGAAGGAGAAAGAGAGAAGAGAGTCATTAATCTTGTCTATTCACTGTGGTTAGGAAAAGACAAAAAAAAATCATCTTATCTCTGGCCCTGCCTTTGGTGGGAATCCTAACTAGAATCCTTCAGCACTCAGTTGGTGTGAATCGGAAGGATTCTGCAAATTCTCCCCGAGGACCCAGGACTTTCTATTCATGCATAGAATCCTTCAGCTGTTCATTAAGTGCTCTATCGCCCGACCCATGTGAAAATTGGATTCTGTTAATTAGTGTCATGAGCTTACAGCCCTTCCCGAAACTTTAGTTCCTGGAAGAATCCAGATACATTAATCTGCTCATCAGAAGTTTGCTTTATAAAGTAAGAACACTTAGTTATATTTAGCTTCATGGGGGGCAGGGTCAGCACTCCAAACGGCATGTCTTTAGAGATTTTGAGCTTGATGGATCTTTCCCTTGGGGGAAAAATCATATCTGTTAAAAAGTCAGAATGGATGTCTTCGGTTGGAGTGGGCAGACAGGAGGGTGGCCTGGGCAGATAGCTTGGCAGAGGCGGTGGCTTCCACCAGCTCTATATTGCTTGGGATGTTCTGTAGCTCTGTTTGTTGTGTTTACATTTTCCATTTTGTTTCCAGTGACACATTTAGGGTGAAAAAGTCGCCAAAACGGTCTCCTCTCTCTGATCCACCTTCTCAGGTACAATGTTCCTTTGATCTTTATGATGTTACTGCTCACCCAGAGATTATTACCCTAGGCAGCAGAGCTTTCCTTTCTGATTTTCATGGGCATATTTCCAAGGCCCTCTTGCCCCTACATGGAGAGGTCCCTTGGTTTTGTGAAGATTGTTTCAATCCCTTCACTTAGGCCAAGATCAGTATGTATCCTGAGAGTACAAGAAGTTCAGGGAAAATGGTAGTTGGATTCAGCAGGAGGATCTGTTCTGGCCCATTCTGTCCACTTGCTGAGAACTTTTATAGCTATCAAGTTGGGAAAGTCTTTTGAGATCAATAAATACAAAGTAAGAAAATGTAAAAAATGAATATGTATCAGAAGCACTAAACTATAAAAAATGAATATGTATCAGAAGCGCTAAACAAATAGCCCTAAAGTCCAAGTGGGAAGGTGAGGAGCCCTGCCCCACAAAGAAGTAGGTGCTTGGGTTGTTTATTCATATGGGTCCATATTTCTCTCTTACTAGTTCATCACCAAAATCGTGCCATTTCTTCTGCCCTCTTTATAGACCAAGGAACATTATCATCGAGTAGGTTCGCCATACCATTCCTGGGTCACAAAACAAATAAACTTCTCCCATCTGTCTAAACCAGGTCAGCCAAGTCCCACCCCTAAGACCTGGCCCAGGCCAGGGTGCAGAAGACCCTGGACCTGGACCCCTGAACAGGGCACCCAGTCGCAGCTCAGCTTTCTCATTTCTGAGTTCCACCCTGCCCTGGTCAGGTCCTCCCTCTCCTGTGGGGCGGCAGTATGAATCTCCTTCTCTCCTTTTAGGGACTGGCATGAGTACTGTCAGGTGATATTGATGATGCTGACCTTCAAGCCTGTGTATGAGCATCACACAGTAGTTGTAGGAATGAAGTTAGCAGAAATGTCTCAGATAGTCAAGACACAAAATCCTGATTTTTTAAAAATCCACGATCACTCCTTGAAACAAACCATCAGAAAAGGAGATTCATGGAGGAAAGAATGTGTTACCTTGAGGGGTCATCTGAAGCACAGTCCAAGTAGAACAGATAGAGGGTTTTGATGGGAACCTCTCCTGGTCAAAGGGCTTCAGACTCCTGGGTGAGTGTGATTTCTGATCAGTCCACTGAATGAAAGAGGAGGCTGCCTTTCTTCTCCCTGCAGGACCCCACTCCAGCTGCAACGCCAGAGACACCACCGGTCATCTCCGCAGTGGTGCACGCAACCGATGAGGAAAAGCTGGCGGTCACCAGTCAGAAGTGGACGTGCATGACAGTGGACTTGGAGGCTGACAAACAGGACTTCCCACAGCCCTCAGACCTGTCCACCTTTGTAAATGAGACCAAATTCAATTCACCCTCGGAGGGTAAGCAACTTGGTGGCCAGCTGGACCCCCACCCCGCCTTGGAGAATACTGCCCCTAGGGAGCAAAAGGCCAGGACAGACACTTCTCAGCCAGGTAACTGTTACTGTTACCTTGTGACTGTCTGCACGCCTCCCAATACACTTGAAGCTAAGGCTGCACTTTAAAACGGCCCAAGACTTGAAACAAGCTGTTCCTCGACCCCACCATGCCTGCTGAGAAGTAGCCCAGCACTTTCTAATCCAAGTTCTGACTGCTCGAGTGTGCTTATTCTTGGCTGTGTGGCTTAATGTCCCTTCTGTGGTTTTCAGGGGGGAAAAGGTCTAAAGGAATTGTTGTTTAAAACAAATGCTCAGTGTAGTTCACTGCATCTGGGAACCCATTAGTACCATCATATTTGGGGCACCCATGAGATGGTGAGACAACATGGCTATACCTTTTAATCAAGTCCCAAGCCAAAGGTTCACTCACACTAGGCTTACTTATGAGGACTTTATCCTCCCCTGCTCCGTG